CCTTGCTCTTTGTATGACCCCAGGTAAGGCCTGAGCCCTGCTGGGTGCTGCCACTGAGCATTAGGGCTGTTCAGAGCTGCTAGGCTCTTCTAGTGCCTCAGCCTGAGTCCTGTGATAGACGGTGACTACATACAAGTCAGGAACAGCCCCTAGGATGGACAGATGCCTGTCCTGTTCTTGTTAGTATTTTACTTTACCTGCATTGATGTGCAAGTTGAATTCAAGATTGATTTCCTGGTTTCAAAAGAACAGCAGATTTTTTTCTTCCTCTTGGCCTGAGATTCCTAAGAATGCAGATTCTTAGGGTAGAAGTAAAACAAGAGCTGGTTTCAACTGCTGCCTTTGTCCTCCCCAGGCCCAGTGGGGGCAAAGAGGCTCCAGCTGCCCACTCTCAGACAGGAGGCAGTGGAGCAGGGTGGGCTATGTGGAGCCATGCACTGGCCCCTGAGGATACTGGGGTTTGCATCCCTGCAGTAGCCTGCACTCTGTTGAGGGTCTGGGCAGCGGTGGCAACTGCCATTCCTTGTGCTGGTGGCCCAACCAGTGGCCTTAGGCTTCCCCAGATAGAAGGGCCATGGGGCTGATCATCAGAACAACTAGGAGTTCAGTTTATGGGCTACCAGGAAAAAAGGAGCCTATCAGTCATTTTCAAATGTCTTGCTAAAGCTAGCCCCAACCCACTTCAGTCGCAGCATGACCACCCTGTAATCAAGGTGCTTAGCCGGTCTCCTGCGAGAGGCCTGTGAGCTCAAGGAACTTGGAAGACAGTCAGTGTGCACAGGGAGGATGAGCTGTTGCTAAGGAGTGTTTGTGTGGATTGGAAAGTGGGGAAGTGTCCAGGAGAGTTCCAGCACAACTGCACACAGAATAGGGAGGAACTAAGGATCACACTAGGTGACAGTATGTCATTGGGTGTCTGGGACAGGCCCAGTTTGCTTCTCTTGTCCTAGCCATCCTATTCATTGGATGTCTTTGTACTCTCAGGAGTATCCAGGTTTGGATGGTAAGTTTTAAGGTCACCCTAATTATACGTGACAACGTTAGTGGAAGGGGTTAATGGCAGTGTGGACCATGTATTTAAGTAAAGCCTTGTACCTGGGTGCTTTGGCAGCTCAGAAGCTGGCTGTGGGTTAGCACCATCACAGCCCTGGGTAAGCCACCTCACTGTTTCACAACAGTGTGGCCTCGAGGTGAGATCAGGGCCCCAAATGTCATATGAACTGTGGTTCAGATCCTTTCTCATAGCTGGCCAGCTTTGACCTTCATGAAATTATTTAGCTTATCTCTGCTATAACTTAGGAGTTCTCTTAGGGATCTCACAGAGTTTGCATAGTCATTAATCATCTGTGTCAGGCGTCCAGACTACTGCCTGACCCATAATAGACGCAGACAAATAGTAGCTGCATTATTGTTATTATCATTAATTATTCCCAAACGATTGTTGTTGGGGCTTTAGTCACCATCTGTGAAATGGTGAGGCATGACCCTATCCTGCCCTGCCTCTCAGCTTTGTGAGACTGAAACTGGTCCACTCCCCAGGAGCCCGGAGCCCAGGGGAGGGCATGCTCCGAGTCCAGGGACTGTGTGTGAGTGGAGTTGTTTCCCTGCCGATCCAGCTCTTGTGTCTTTATGGAACATGGAAACTGGGTTCCCAAGGCACTGTCCCTTCTGCTCACCCTGAATCTCTCAGGTCTTCTCTATTCCTTCCTGGCCTGGCAAGTTCCTCCTTCATGAGTTGGGGAGTCGGTGATACTCAGCACAAGGCTGTAATTTGCTGGTGCTGGCTGACCTTATTGCACTGCCATTGGAGAGAAGCCAGGGATCAACTCCTGGCCCTGCCCACAGAGCACCTCTCAATGTACCATGCATGGAGACCTTCTCACCTCCTCCTCTCTTTCTGAACAAAGTGTCATCTGTTTTTAGTGCATTTGCTTTATTCTCTTTCTTTCCACTATTTTGCCTTTTCCTGTAACGGCTCTGGGAGTCTTACCCAGTAGCTGAGACTAGAACTGGAGCCAGCTGCCCCACAAACCCCAAGTTCCTGCACAAGTGATTCCACCATTCTTTGTCCCAGGTCCCACATCTGGGAAGGGGCAAAAATGGTGCCATCCTAGCGTGGTTGTCCCAATTCATAGTAGGCGCATCAGGCGCCCGTCAGCTGGAAATGGCCTAGAAACATGCCCTTCCTGCTTCCCCACGCTGGTGTGTGCTTTTGGTGACGTGGGAGAGAGGCCACCCAGAGAGCTTCTGACTCAGAGACTACACTCTGCCCTGGGAAGCTGGGGGCACTGAATCAGCTCCCACGCTGGGCCTTGGATCCTTCATCTGCCCAGCCTGAATGGTGGGAGTGGGGTATTTCGGACCTACCTGCCCTGTCCTCCCACTTTCAGAACCGCTCAGATTTGAAGCTACACAACTGTCCCAAACTGTGCCTCCGCCTGTTGGTGGAATGCCTCAGCCTGCTCAGTGACTGGGGCCTGACGTAGTGAGAAGGTCTGTGCACCGGAGTTTGTCAGGAGGTGCTGTTCTAAGCTTGGTTCTGTGGTTCTGAAGAAGTCACCCCAGGCCTCTGGGTTTTTAGCTTCCCCATCTTTAGAATGGGGTAATTCCCCCTTGGCTTTGTGCTTCTCATAAGACGAGCAAGGGTGGTTACGTTGAAAAGCACTTTGCTGTCACTAGAGCCACAGCAGCCCGTCCTTCTGCTTGTCTCTGGGGGTACCCATCCCTGCCAGGCTTGGAAGAGAGGCACAAGGAGGCCACGCTGGCCACCACAGCCAAATGGTGGAAGCACACGGTGCTGGAGGGGGCCAGGAGGTGCCCTATGGAGGCAAGACCCATGAGACGTTTTCTTCCCTCCTCTTCCCTGTTCTCCCTCGTGGACTTGGGGCCAGGGGTGGCGCCCACAGTGAACCCTGGGCAGTCACTTCAAACAGCTTGGACTCCTCTCAAAGACACACTTTCTTCTTATGGCTCTGTTTGTTTGGATAGTGAGGGAATGATTTACAGAGCCCAGGCAGATCCCTGGAAGCTATGGGACCCTGAGACTGCCTTTGTGATCTGTCTCTAAGAGGGAATGGGTTGGAGCTGGAGAGAGCTGAATTGGTGTCCCTGTTATCCAACTGCTCACCCAAAGGCCAGAGCCACGTCAGTGACAACAGACTATTTTTAAGTATCTCTGCCCTCTTCTCTGGCAGTTGGGGACTTCCGTAAGCCTCTACAGGTTAGAAGAGTGGACGAAATGGAAAGGAAAACATTTGGCCGCATCTTCAAATCATGACGTGGAGGAGGCTCAGCTGACCTACTGGGGCTGGGGGAAGAAGGTAGCAGGATTCTGGCCCCAGGTAGCTGGACCAGGCATGCCCAGAACGGGTTACAGTTTCAAGAGCATTTGAGAAAGAAAGCAGTGGGCCTGGGCTAGCTCTCCCTGAGCTCCCTGACACCTGGCCACTGCAGGAGCTTCTCTCTGGTCCCCAGAGCCTTTGCCGCACACCTGGCCACTCAGCCAAGAGGTGAGGGCCATGGCCTTACCCCAGCCCTCAGTGACTACACCTGTGTCAGGCCGAGCTCTGTGATGGGAAATGCACTCCAAGGGCTGCCTCCTGGGGGACCCTCCACTCCCGTCACAGCCAGGTTTCCCCAAACACAAGGCCCGGCCCCACGGTCCGCTCAGCAGTCACTTTCTCATCAAGCCAAGGACATTTCAAAGTTGCTGTGTTTTCTCTATCATTTCCTTCCCTCCTCCCCCCTTCACTTCCTGTTTTTTTTCTTCCTCTTTCTCCACCCCCACCCCATCTCTCCTGGCATGTCCCTGCCGTCTGAGAACAGGAACAAAGCCCAGAGCATTGATAATCATGATTTCCTGTGGTGCCCCCAGGCTGTGGCTGCTCAAAGCTGGGGCCAGCCCAGCCTCTCTGGGGCACCAGAGCCCCCTGGGGGAACCCAGCAGGAAGCTATGGTCATCAGGGTTCCCAAATCTGAAACCTAATAAAATAAGACTCATCCTTTAAGTCCTTGGGACCACCACAGCCTCCCAAGAACGTTTTTCATGCATTTGGAAGAAACAGACAATCCTGGTGTTTGGGTCCCGTAAATACAGTCCAGTTCCGATGGACAGAAAGTGAATTCAGAAGTTAGAGGCAGGCTCCTTTCTGGTTCTTCCCTGTGTTCTCTTTGTGATTCCTCTGACCACAGCAGCTCTGGAAAGCTCGGTGTCCTAGTTCTTTGGGAGAACAGAATCAATGGTATCTCACAAGAATTTTCTGAGGACAAATCTATAAAATTCACATTGCTATGCCTGGAAGATCTGATTTACTTAATAAGTGAAAGCTCCCTATATTTTTTTCCCCCATGATTTGCTTTTCCGCAAGAAGAGTGGCCGTTCAAATACACGGCAGCCAGAAATATCCCATAAGAAATGGCGCTCCTGGGAGGACAGTCCGTGTCTGTTACTGTGTTTTTGCTCAGACATGGAGAGAAAGTCCTACTGGCTGTCGTGGAAAAGTGGAGCCCACCCACCGCTGTGTCCATGGGTCACGGTATTCCATAACAATATTTTTCTGATGACAAACAAGAAGAACCACCCCACCACATGCCTGAGGTGGGCTGTTTTGCTAATTTAGCTCCTTGTGGTAAAACTACAAAAACAGCACTCTGGATCAAGTGCCACCTCCCTTTGTGACCGTCTGTTTAAAAAATAAGGCTTCCCATTCAGGGTCAATGACCACTTGTTTGAGAAGTCAGCCTGCCCATGGGGCTGCTTCTTAGAAAATTCCAAAGGTCAGAGTGTCAGAGATGTGTTCCAATCTGGATTCTACCCCCAAATTGCTGATCCTTGAATGAGGCTATTTTCTTCTCTCAGGGCTTCCACTTCCCCCCAAGTAGAAAATGAAAGAATTGGTAAAGATTATCTCATAGATGTTACCCAGTCCTGGTCATTTCTGATCCTTTGACTCTCTCAGTGACCAGAGGAGGACAGGGGTTGCGTCTCATAGTAATGTCACTTGCATTCCCCTGTGGCAGGGTATCGCTCCACTAAGGACTCGGAGGAGCCACTCCTGATTTGGGAAGCCCCACGTGCCGAGGCCTGACCGCTGCTCAGCTGATTCGTCCCATCAGCCTGGCTTGGTGAATCGGAGTCACAGGAGAGATTTCCAGGTAATTAACCTCTGGCTTTCATTTTAGCAGACAACACTGTGACCGCCAACGTGTTCACGGAGACTGGGTGTCACACGCATGCTTATATGAACACCTGAAAGTACGAAGGGTGGTCATCTCACCAGATTTGTCATCTTTGATTAGAAGCTGTGCTTCCCAACACCACATACATCTAAAGAAAAACAAAGAGGATGTAAATAATAATTGGCATTATGCATTTTGAAGAGGCTGTCATTTGGAGTGGTCAGAGGACTCTTGAGTTCTTCGGCTGTATTCTCAGTGGGATTTTGTGCTATTTTCAGTCTTTTGGGTGTTCAGGCATGAAACACAGGGGGGCTTGTAGGGTAAGAGCTGACTGGAGCCACAGTTGTGATGACTTTGTCATGTACTGTCTGTGCAAGATTGAACTTCAGCACCCTTGAGGTGCCTTTCTGCCCCTCTGGGCCAACCAAATTTAAACAAGAAGGAGAAGAAGTCCTTTAGCAGCCAACCCAAGACAGGGCTTAGGTCTCATGTGAGAGCCCTGACTTGCACCGCGCTTGCTATGACATTTTTAGACACAATTTCAGTTCATGAAGTTATTACCCAAGAGCCCCTGTGACGGACAGGCTGTGGCTCTCCGTCCCCCATCACCCTCCTCCTGAGACCAGCACACTGGCTGACTCTGGTTACCCCTCTCCTCTCTCAGCTCCCCGCAACCAGTCAGAGACATTTTTCTTCTTATGTGCAAGGACATGGTCCCATCTGCTTGAACTTTTCATTGGATTTGCACCTGATGTGGGCTGACAGCTCTCCTAGTTGACTCAAGGTTTGTTGGGGGTTCAGCTCTCTGGGCTCTGGCATGTTAACCTGTCTGCCTCAGGCACACCCCAGGGCCCACAATGCCAATGTCAGGACGCATGTAGGAAATGCCCAGGCATATGTCACAGACCTCTCCTCGTCCATTGGCTGCTGGTTCTACCTGCTCCAGTCTTCTGTTCCGAAGCTCTTTTTCAGTGACGATCTTGAGTTTCCTTGAAAGTTAAAACCTGAAACATTTCATGAAGCTGAGCTAGGACAGAAGGTAGGTCAAGGTGACTTCTAAAGCATCTTCCACTCCTGACTTCCCAGACTCTTTAGCTTGAGACTCGCGCCTTATACCCGATTCCCCTTCTTGGGTGAACAGGGTAAGCTCCTGTTCCCTTCCATTCTTCCTCTTGTGGTTCTTTCTCTACAGTGGTCTTTTAGCTCTGGCTTCATTCAAAAGAAGAAGAGCTTTTGCAACTAGATCTGACTTCATGCTCAGCTCTGCTACTTATTGGCTCAGTGGTCTTGCTGAGATTGTTCCGTGTCCCCACCTGGAAGCTGGTGGACAGTACATTCTGTGTTGCAGGCTGGTGGGGAGGGTTAAAGGAGATCCTGAAGTAGCGTGGTTTCTTGCTTCTAGTAAACCACAGAAAATGTTGTTCCTTTCCCCACCCAGCTTTTATAGAGTGACTTAAACACACCTCTGATCCCATACTGGATTCCATTAGAACCTTGTGCCTAGAATCTTGGAGTGGGACTTGTCCACAATACCATTAAGACCCAGCCTGTTAAAGGAGAGAGAAGGTGTCACCAGGCTTTGATTTCGGAGCTTGCCCTCCTTAGAGCCTTCCTGCTCCAGGGTTTAGAGGACCTCCATCGGTCCTCTGTCATTGTCAATTTCAGGACCCACACTCTGCTCGCCCTGACTCTATACTTGGTCCACTGGGGTGTTGGTCGAGAGCTAACTCCCTTTCCACAGATTTGCTTTGAACTAGCATATAGTTCCAAGGCCCAGCGGAGGAGGTCAGTTGACCTGGGGCAGGTGTCCTGGTCTGGGACTCAGTAGACAGGTCAGTTCAAGCACCTTTTCATTGGGGCCTTCCTCCTTGTTTGTTCGTTCCCCAGGGCATCGTCCATCTGGTCGTGGAGCACGGGTTTATGGCACCTGACAGGTTCTGCTTGGTGCTGGGGATTCAGAACAGAACAAAACAAAGTTTCTGTTCTCAGGGAGCTGTGTCCACACAGGGTCAGGGATCACCAGCAAGTAGTAGACATAGCTATATTACAGTAGGCAGTGGTCAGTGCTGTGGAAAAAAGTCAAGCAGCAAAAATAAATGACTAAGGCCAGGCCAGGGAGCTAGGGAGCTGGGTAACTGGGCATGGTTGTGTTGGCTAAGGTACCCATTTGAGCAGATCTGAGGAAAGTGAGGGACAAGGTGAGAAGGAATCCTGGGACCAAGGTTCTAAGGGAGAGTTCTTGGTCTTGGTGAAATGGAAAGAAGCCCATGGGAGCAGAGCAGAAGGAACAGGGGACGGTGGAAGGAGGAGAGGACAGGAAGGAGTGGGCAGATGGTACAGGGCCTTGAGGGCCTCTGTAAGGACTCAGGAGATTATGTTCTGGTTGGCTTTTCTTTCCAGAGATTCTGTCCTTCCTCTCTCCTCCCCAGCGCATCGTAAAGACTCAGTTCTTAAAGCATCCGATGACCATGGTTGCTCTGACCCAATGGTGCGTGAGTTGTTCATTCAGCAACCTTTATTGGTCCCTGGCCGCTAGACTCTGGAGACGAATGAGTCTTGGCCCAGTGCTTAGGATCTGGCCTGGTGCTTGTTCAAAGCTCCTTGGAGAAGTTCATCAATAAATGAGGTCGAAACAGTTGTCCTCATATGATCACCGTAGAACCAATTTGCTAGAGTAGAAAGCTTCCACTGGAACCTCCCGCAGGTCATTTCCACCCTTTCTTTTGGAATTCAGTTACATAAGAGAGCTAAGGCTTGCCTTAAGGGTAGAGGGAGGATCAATTCATTCAGCAAACATTCGGGGGGTGCCTCCTACAGGTCAGTGCTGGTGCCAAGTCCTGGAGATGAATGACTGGATTTCGCCCCTGCTCTTGAGTTGTTAATGATTTCACTGGGTGATGTGCCAGTGACCAAATGACACACACTTCTCAGTGGTAAGAATGGCTGGTCCCAGGGGGCCCTGAGGAGGAACTCCTGACGGGGAGCAGGGAAGCTCCCTGGGGACATGTTGTCTCCTGGAGGTTGTGCACTGGGAGGTGAGGGAGGTCTGAGACCAAGGGACTCCCAGAGAGGAAGCTGAAGGTGTCAGCAAGGGGCTCTGCTGGCCAAGCCAGGAGGTTTGAGCCTATGCCGAGGACAGCACGGATCAGTCAAACAGTTTCTAAGCAGAAGTGGATACCCTGGGAAGACTGGTGTTTGAGAACACGAAGGGCCTGATTTCACTGCCCTCCAGTTCCTTTAAATGCTCATTGTTCCCCTCTTCCCTGTGTTGAGATCCTAGTTCCCTCTGAAGGGGATTGAAGCAAGGTGGTTGTCAATAGTAGTGACAACCGTGGAGCGCCCCAGCCAGTGCTGGGCTGGCCAGGGTTTCACGTGCACAGATTGTGGGAAAATGCTGGAACCTGAGCTTTTCTTCCGGTAGGAGGAGATGGCTGGCAAAAGCCCTGCTCTTCCAGGAGAATTGAGGGAGTTTAGGTCCTTCACATTTTCTTCCTGTCAGAAAACACATGGGTGAATTCCACCTTTTCACCTTCTTTCCGTTCAATACTAAAAATAGGAGTTTTCTCTGTAAAAAGCACTTGTTCATTCAACAGACAATCCCTCAGTACCTTTCACATGCCAGATGCTGCTGAACCTGTGAGCGAGACCGATGGGACGCAGCCCAGTCCTCACAGAATTCATCGTCTTCAGAGACAGAGGAGCTGATGGTCAGGATCACACAGCGGATGAGCGAGGTGGTGTGGACCCAGAGAGTCCCTGGAGCATGCTCTCTGTCCTGGGATGTCAGGGACACCGAGCTGGGCATGGAAGGATGAGTAGGAGCTGGGAGCTGGAAGACAGACACTCCCGGTACAGAACTACACTCTATAAATAGGGGACAGCACTCAGTCCTCTGTGATGGTGGTGAGGAGGAAGTAGCCAGAGAGCTCAGCAGGCGCAGATACTGCCTCAACTCTGCTGTTTAAAAATCCATTAGTCGCCGCCTCCTCATCCTCCCACCCTGTTCCCAATAGTGACTAAAAAGAAGCCAATTGACTAATATGAGTTTGATCTCTTCTCTGACCCCATGGAGGTGTTAAGGAACAGAATAAGATAAGGGGGACCAAGAAACAAGTAGAAAGAGGAGGAGGAGGAATCCATATCCATCTTCCAGAAATGTTGATTAACAGCCTGGATTGCACTGTGGCTTCCTGGCAAAGGCAGCTCCATGGAAAAACCAAGTCTCGCCCCAGTGGAAACTACCTGCCCTCTGCCTTCCTCTTGGGAGGGTGCACAGCACACACACCTGCAGAGACACGTCTGGGTCTGTGATTGTGCATACACACATGCACACACCTGTATATATGTGAATGTGTTTACATGAACGTATCACTTTAGATTTACTCTATAATCTAGCACAGAGCCTGCTGTAATTGACCTTCCACCCTGGCTGGCTCCTCACATAGAACTCCCAGATGCACATGGGGCAGAGCAGAGGCATCCTGCTGGAGTCTGGAGGCTCCTGTCTGGAAGCCCTCTGAATGCAGCGGGGACAGGGAACCCCAACCTTACAAGGAAGCTGGTTCTAGTTCAGGCCTGGTGCAGCTCTCCCTGGATACAGAGTCATCTCTGAGCCCAAGACATGCCTTCCCCTTCCTTCTCCCCTTCCATCCTGAGGGCAGGACCAGTTGCTCTCTCCATAGCCAGAACCATCTGGTCTCTTGCTCTTAGGAACCTCTCAGTGCCTCTGTTGGGCTGGGCTGGGGGAAAGACCCAGGACCTGGGTTTCTCCTCCTCTCTCTCCAAGGAAGGACCTCGACTGGAACTTTCTCTCACGCCCTCTGAACCCAGGGGAAGGAAGCATTTCCTTTCATGTAAAGTGAACTTCACAAAGATTTTTTACAAGAGGAAGAGAAGATGTAGGGAAGGGGGGTGGCCCAGAGAAAGGGTAGCACTGTCCTCAAGGGCAGCAGCATCTTCCCTGGTTTCCCCAGGCT